CTTCAACGCTTCTGCCCATTCACTTTGAATGGGGTGACGTCACGATTCGCCGAATGACATTGTGGGAGCAAAGCGTAGTTTCTCTCGCGGTGCTCGCTGCAAAAGTAGAGCAATGTTCTACTTTTGCCGCCTGTGTTCAACCAACCTGCTCTTTCCGTCCCTATTTGAACCCTGTGTTCAATGGGACGGAAAGAGCAGGTTGGTTGAACACAGGCGTTTATGAACTCCAAACAAAAATATACGCGGGTCTCAAACGTTGCCCGGTTGGGAACCTTCACAGGTCCTTTGGCGACCTTCCAGGATCCCGCCTACTGCAAAACAGACCAGAACCAGGTTACGACATGCTTTTATTCCGGCACCGATTACCTGATTCCGATCAGCTGTCTGGCCTCCGGCCGAGCCACTCCCTTCACTCCAGCAGCCAGCGACCAAACCACACCCCGCTGCCACAATAGGTAATAGATTAAGAGCGGTGAATCAGCTTAGAAACAGGAAGCACTCAAAAGTTTGTGTGAGTTTATCACATTTAGAAGTGATTCCATGTCAGCCACAGCTTGCCACAAAAAATCAGGCTGTATTTAACAAACTTAAACTAGCTTTATTAAATCTCAGGTCTTTGGCAGGTAAGACATTTTTAATCAATGATTTTATCACTGAGCACAATCTCGACTTTACGTTTTTAACGGAAACTTGGATTGAACAAAATAACAGTGAAGCTCTTCTTATCGAATCAACCCCTCTCAACTTTAGTTTTATGAGTCAGGAAAGAATGCATAAGAAAGGGGGTGGAGTTGCTATTTGGTTCAATGATTCCCTTCAATGCAGGAAGACATCTTATGGGAACTTCAGCTGAAATGCTCCTCTCGAGCTCTGTTCCTAAATATCTATAGACACCCTAAATACTGTGCAAGCTTTTTTGATGACTTTACTGAACTGCTGTCTATAGTGTGTATTGACTTTGACCGTCTAGTCATTGTTGGTGATTTTAACATCCATGTTGACAACCCCCAGGACAGAGGAGCTAAAGAACTGTTTTGTGTTCTTGATAACTATGGACTGACTCAGCATGTGACGGAGCCCACGCACAATAAGGGGCACACTCTGGACTTAATTATCTCAAAGGGTCTGAATATCTCTAAGGTTGAGGTGACTGATGTTGCACTCTCTGATCATTCCTGTGTTTTCTTTGAGAGCTCAATTTATGTTCACAATTTTTTTCAAAAAGAGGTAACCACAAAGCGATATTTAACTGAAAATACTAGGGAAATGTTTACTCAGAATTTTTCTTCCACACTTGCCCCTGCTAACATCTCAGTAAATGAGCTAGCTCATTTTAATTCAAAAATTAAAAATGTTATAGATGCCATTGCTCCAACTAAGATAAAGAAAGTGTCTGGCAAGAAAATATCTCCATGGAGAAAGGCCATGACCGTGAGAACAGAAAAAAGAGAGTGTCGAAAAGCTGAACGCAGGTGGCGAAAAACAAATCTCCAGGTTCACTTTGAAATCTATAAAGAGAGACTTGGCTTTTATAATTTGGAATTGAAATTTGCCCGACAGTCTTTCTTCTCTGATATCATTGCCAAAAACAAAAACAACGCACGTGCCTTGTTCGCTACCGTCGACAGACTAACTAACCCCCCAGTGTCAGTAGCCTCTGAATTTCTATCCACCAGGGCGTGCAATGAATTTGCCTCCTTCTTCACTGACAAAATTCAGAAAATCAGACAAGCAGTCAGTGCCTCTGCATCAGGTACAGCAAATGTGTTGTCCCTGTGTCCACCTAATATCAATTCAGACATCATGACACAATTCCATCAGATTAATGATAAAAACCTAGAGGACATTATTCAACTTCTGAAATCCTCCTCCTGCTGCCTTGATATTATTCCAACACGATTTTTCAAAAATGTTTTTCATTGCATGGCCTCTATTTCACATAGTAAACAAATCTCTTCACTCAGGTGTTTTTCCACAGGCCCTGAAAACTGCAGTCATTAAACCGCTCTTAAAAAATAATAATCTAGATGCTTCAGTAATGAACAACTACAGGCCCATATCAAACCTGCCATTTCTAGGTAAAATCATTGAAAAAGTTGTTTTTCAACAGTTGAGTAATTTCTTGCATTTAAATAACTGTTTCGATGTGTTCCAATCAGGTTTTCGACCAAACCACAGCACTGAGACTGCTCTTGTAAAGGTCTTTAATGACATCCACTTAAACACATGTGGCAGAACTTCAGTGTTAGTATTAGATCTCAGTGCTGCGTTTGACCACAACATATTACTAAACCGACTAGAAAACCGGGTGGGACTTTCGGAAACAGTTCTAAATTGGTTTGAATCCTACTTAACCCTGTAAGGCCCACTGTTGTAATTTTACAACATTACTTTAAGCTATCCTAAAAAAGTCAGTAAATGTTTTTTGTTTTTTTTAAGACTACATTTACATAGTCAATAGGTCCTTTTGTTCAACCTCACAATGCTATTGGGTAGTACATGTGTTTATAGGTCCTGCCCTCTGGACATACATATAAGACTAACATTCCTGACAATAGATCTCAATAGAGAACCGCAGTGACGCGTCGCAAAACCCGGAAGTAAGTTAGCATTTTTAGCACTTCCGGTTCCTTCCTCAAA